GCTCGGCTAGTCGGCCTTGACCTTGACGATTACGGCTGCGCAAGCTGCGGAAGTGACCACAGCGCCCAGGCAGACGACGACATTTCATTGTCAAGCTTTTCCCAAATTGTTTTCGAGTCGTCGGAGCACGACGCCGGCGATGATCTGCCGCCCGATTGCGATTCCGAGAGCGGCGTTCAACTTCGCGTTTCCGATGACGAAGAATTGGAGCCGATGATTCGCGGCCGCGCCGACGCGTTCTGCAATCTCCTGGAGTCTCACGTCTCGGATGCCGTGGAATTTCTGTCCGGCTTGAGTTTGAGCAAGCCGGCTCTCCGCCGCCGCGTCGCCGCTTATCTTAGGGATTTAGGTTACAATGCCGCCGTGTGTAAGACCAGATGGGAGAGGAGAGACGGAATCACCGCCGGCGGCCACGAATTCTTAGACGTTCTCAGATCCGATTCTGCGCGGCACCTAATCGACCTCGAATTCTCCTCCCAATTCGAGATAGCGCGGCCGACAAATCAATTCCAGCTTCTGGTCCGGTCATTGCCGGGAACTTTCGTAGGGAGAAGCGAGGAGCTGAAGAAGATGCTGAGATTGATGAGCGAGGCGGCGAGGCGGTCGTTGGAAGCCAGAGGCCTGCATCTACCGCCGTGGAGGAAGCACCGCTTTATGGTGAACAAGTGGCTGGGCTCCTACAGGCGGACCACGAACTTCGCGCCGGCCTCCATGGAAACTTCACCTCCATTAGAGCAGAGCTTAGCCGTCAAGTGCCGCTCCGTTGGCTTCGATGCTGCTGCTAGCGGCTGTTTTCTGTTTCCCGTCGTAACTGGAACCAGATGAACAGGAAATTTAAGAAATGTAAATGCAAAATGGAGGGAGGAGGGAAGGGTATGTCATGGATAAATAATGGGAAAGGGTGATTCTTGGGGGCACACTAATCTTGTCCCTCAAAAAACGGCTAAATAAACTCTAATTTTTAATCGCAATCGGATTAATCGGATCGGTTTCAAATTGGATTTTTTTGGTTCGGATATTTTTTGTATATATGTTACAATAGGTTCGGATCGGTTTAATATCGGTTCGGATTTGATTCGATTCTATACATTTTTCGTTTCGATTCAGTATTGAGTTGTTTCAGACACGGTTCGGATACAATTTAGATCGTATATATTTCGGTTTCGGATCTAGTTCGGTTCGAATATATTTTGATCAAATATATTTTGGATATATATTATTTTCTAATTAAAATTTAATTATCCATGTTTTTTTATCACATTTATCAATCTAACATCAATTCAATACCTTATATTATTTTATATTTTTTCTAACTATACTATCTCCAAATAATCTTTCTTTTTGACTTTTTAGTCATATTTTATAAATTTGGACTACTAGTTATGAAAATATATATTTAATTAGGATATAAAATTAATATAATTAAATAAATTTTAAATTTTAGTTTTGATATATAAAATTTTCATCAAATTTACTAATATTTTTATGTTTATAAATGCAAAGATAAAAGATCATTTCAAATAGTGTTGTGCTTCAATTGAATACAATTTGGTAAAAATTAAGTGAAATTAAGCGAATTTTATTTAATATTACTCCTAAAAGTTGATAAAATTGAATGGGATTAATACATTTGATTGCAAATTTTATAAATTATTTGAGTGTATTTGGTGAAAATTACATAAAATTAAATTCAATAGAGTCAAATATAATTAATTTTATACCTAAACTTAATGGTGTAGATTAACTTGAATATGATAACACTAAGATCATGAACAATGACAAGTCATATACTGGAATGCCACACGCTAACATGTCACTGTTCAACCAATCAAAGTTTATCTAGTCACAGAGTGGCATGACATTGGAGTGGCATGTCATGCAGTGGCAAGTCACTATTTTTTAATCATTTTACAATTTTGACTATTTTTAATTATTTCATTTTACGTTTTCTCAACTCAATATGTTTTATTTTTGGCAAACTTAATTTCAAATGTGGAGGAGGAAAGCCAAAGCATAATACAGAATACCCTATAGACAATTGAGCAGGAGTGTTTACTATTGTAGGTTTCAATGGTTTATAAGCAAAATAAACTATACACAAATGAGCAGAATAACCCGTACCCAATTTTGGACCAATTATTAAAATATTAATGGATTTAAGCCTTATGCAATCTATTATCAAAGAGACAACATATATACCCTTATGCAATCTATTGTTACTACAATTCCCGCCATCCATGAAACTGAACATTCCAATCAGTTTTTTCAGACAAAATATTACAACTACGAGTCATCTTATCCAATGGTTCAAGACTCTTAATATTTTGTGGTCCAAAAACTCAATAACCTACATTTGGATATTTTGTCGAAAACCTAGTGTGCACTACAATGAATTCATCTATTTGAATTTTTGAAAAGTTAAAAATAATCTATTCGAACTAAAAGAGATGAGGCAGAGAGATGGAAGGAGTTTTAGAGCAATCAAAGCTAGAGATGAGTGGAGTTACCTGAGAGTCGAAGGTGAACGATGATGGCAAGAGAAGACTGGCGCAGAGAAGAGAAATAACTGATGAAGAGAAGTAGCAGATGATTTTCACACATAGAAGAGGAGTGACCGATGATTTTTCAAGAAAGTGTTTGAATTTTGCTGCTTCGATTTTGCCTCGCATCTGCCACGCAAAGGGAAGTGACTCGCGAAATGCCATGCGACCCATTTTTTTCCTCGCCTAGTGCAGCGCTTCCCTCTACACGAATGGCAAGGCGTGGCGAGGCTTTGCCTTGCCACTGCCCATGCTCTAAACGCTGCTGCTAAAGAGTCTTTTCAAAATGATGACGCTAACCTCTAATGTTATTGAGTAATATTGAGTGAATTGGTTTGAAACTAATCAAATTAAATCCCAAACGAATAAAATTTATTGTAATTGGATGAAATTAGGATAAAATAATCTAGTTTTTCCATACAATTCTATATAAGGCCGACACATCCCTCTTTATTTTCTCTCAGCTCGTGGGCATGGCCTACTTACTACTATATGTTGATGACATAGTACTCACGGCATCCTCCCCAGCACTACTACAAAGTATTATTACTCACGACACATCCCTCTTTATTTTCTCTTAGCTGAGTTCTCCATGACAGACATGGGCGACCTGCACTTTTTTCTCGGGATCAACGTTCACCGTACAGCTACCGGCCTCTTCCTCCACCAGACTCAGTTCACTCACGACATACTTGAAAGGCCAGGGATGGTTTCTTGTCGCCCCATCTCTACCCCGGTGGATACAAAGGCAAAGCTGTCTACAACAGCTGACAGGGCACTCTCCAACCCTTCTCTTTACAGGTCCATAATTGGCGCGCTGCAGTATCTCACCTTCACTCGTTCTGACATCACATATGCAGTTCAGCAGCTCTGCCTACATCTTCATGCTCCACGCGATGCTCACCTCACACCCATGAAGCGTGTCCTTCGTTATCTCAGTGGCACTGCCACCCATGGTGTTTATTTGACACGATCCGCCACTGACTACTTACAGGCTTATTCTGATGCTGATTGGGCTGGCTGTCCTGACACAAGACCTTCCACATCGGGTTACTGTATTTTTCTGGGCGACAATCTCGTTTCCTGGCCGTCTAAGTGCCAGGCCACCACCTCTCGTTCTAGCGCCGAGGCTAAATACCGGGCTGTAGCAAATGCTATTGCAGAGACCAGTTGGATCCGGAATCTTTTCCTAGAGCTCCAACAACCACTTCATCGCACCCACACTTGTTTTTTGTGATAATGTCAGTGCAGTTTACCTCTCGTCAAATCCAGTGCAACATCAACGCACCAAGCACATTGAAGTTGATATCCACTTTGTGCGCGATAAAGTGGCGCTCGATCTGATATCTTCTCAGTTTGCTGATATCTTCTCAGTTTGCTGATATCTTCACAAAAGGACTGCCCTAACTCTTATTTCTTGACTTTAGAGAAAGTCTGGGTATCCGACCCCCCTAGCATATCCGCCGTAGCCGGGAGCATGTTAAATATATAAAATATATTTAATATTATTGTATTATTATTGTTACCATACTTGTATAGGTTTCCTATTGTGTCTCTCCTACCATTATTAGGATTGAAACTCTTAGTATATATTCATGTACTCTTCACACAATTCAATTAATGAAAATATTCTTTCTTCAGAAACCCTAATCTATCCTTCTCTTCTTCCGGCCGTCTCATCCTTCCCTTCTTAGCACGAAGGGGCCCTAATCCTTCTCAGGTTGGTACGTGACCGTATCACATACTTTGAAATAATTTTAATTTGAAAGCATGTGTTTCATGGCATTCTTTAAGTCTTTCAATCTTTTCCATGTTTATTGTATATCAATCGTTCTTAATGTTATTACACAGCGTTGTCACTCCTTCCGGATATCCAACAAAACATACACGTATTTTAAAGTTGTTTTGAAATTATATCATTATCATATATATATGTGTGAATATAATACAAGTACTTTACATACGTGAGTATAATACGCATATCATATGTATTCTAAGTAACTTAGCTCCAAAATATCAATTCATATTCCTAGAATCAAAATTACACCTGGCACATAATTGATAGACAAGAAGTGATTTTTTCCTATCAAATTCTTATATGATTTTTGGGTCTACTTTTATTTTATGGACCCTAGCTAGTATATAAATTTAATGATAGAACTGACTTTTCTATAATAAAAAAAGAAGATTTACATATCGATACATAAAATTATAAAATATTCATTTTTCACATGTTACGCAAGCAAACTACATGGGGTATTTTTTTTCCCCTTGAACTAAACTTAGATCCTTTCCTTTTTCCCATTCCAATTCAACAAGATTATTTTAAAAGACCCCTCAGGCCCTCACCTTTGTTTCCTTGTTATTCCTTGAGCCAACAACCCTCCAAGAGGGAACGAATTTTTGACATTTAAAACAGCATATTCACAGGCAGTTAGCACCATAGATATTTCCGCGTCGCTTGCCAGCTGTTGGCTCGCCGGTTCACTGGTTTCGTACGCCCGGGGCCACCGTCTGGTCCCATTCCGCTCCGCCATCGTGATTTACCCACTCACTACCCCAGTGGTCTCTCATGGGGTGCATTCATATTCCGGAGGAAGGCAAGGAATCGCGCAGAATCAGAAGATGACCTAAAACGGAAGTTTTTGGAAACGCGCTTCTGATTTGTTGAATTGACGACCGGAGAGATCGATTTCTCCCTGAAATTTTCTTTTAAGTTGAAGGAACCATGGCGAAAACGGGGGCGGCGGTGGATGGCTGTGACCCCGCCCTAACAGAGGCGGAGTTGAAGAAGGAGTTGCAGAGGGCGGCGAGGGTGATAATCAGTGAGGATGAAGTCAATGTGGGGGCAATCGATGAAGCCCTACAAGCGCTGTGTTCTCTGAGGCACCTTAAGACAAAGCACCATCGATCATCGTTCGCTGAACCAAAAGCGCCTTCTCTCCCTGATGAATTTCGTTGCCCGCTTTCCAATCAACTCATGAAGGATCCTGTGATTGTTGCCAGTGGTCAGGTATTATGGGAGTTTCGTCACTTCAATCTTATGATGATGATCATGTATTTATGTGGTTTTAATATTTTCTGTCCAAATTTGAAGTCTTTGAAACGAATTGATATCTGAATTTGTGGATTTCTCCCTTTCTGGCCACTGAATTCCTGTTTAATGCAAAGTCATACTTGTATTGTATTTCACTCTTTTTGAAATATTATTTGGCTACGTCTGGAGACATCTAGATGATTCATCCTGTGGAATTACAGAGGGGGGTGTTCTTTGCTTAGGGTTAATAATTTATTTACAGATGCACAAATCTATCTATTTATGGAATTGTGTTTATCTCACTTGAACTGAAGTGTCCCACATTGTGATTCGCTTCGTGTATTAAAAAACATCTTTATCTTTTATGTTTTCATGATGAACCCGGATTCCAACGCACATCTTGCCTCCCCAAACTCTACTCTTGAGTGAAATATAGTACAAGGTTTGTTTGGTTTTGATATCTGGGTATGTTTGTTGATTTTATTGTGTTGTATTTGCTCTCTCCTCATGAATTTGCAGACATATGAGAGGTCATTCATTCAAAAATGGTTAAAATCTGGGAACAGAACATGCCCACGAACGCAACAGGTGCTCTCCCATACTATTCTTACACCTAATCTGCTGGTTCAAGATATGATATCTCGGTGGTGCAACATTAATGGGATCCATTTGCCAGACCATGTAGATCAGGAGGGGCTTACCGAAGCCGATCAAAACCATTTTAACTCTTTGCTCGAGAGAATGTCTTTGTCATTGCCTGATAAAAAAGAGGCTGCTAGAGAATTGCGCATGTTGACTAAAAGGGTGCCTTCTTTCAGAGCATTGTTTGGGCAATATGAGAATTCAATAGCTCAACTGATCTCCCCCTTGTGTGAAAGTGAGTCCTTAGACGACGTACAAGTTCAACTCCATGAAGACATAGTCACTACACTTTTGAATATTTCCATCCATGATGACAACAAGAAGCTCGTTGCAGAAACCCCTATGGTCATTCCCCTTCTTATGCAAACATTACAATTGGGGACAATCGAAGCAAGAAGCAATGCAGCAGCTGCCCTTTTCACACTATCAGCCCTCGATTCGAATAAAACGCTTATTGGGAAATCAGGTGCCCTGAAACATCTCATTAGCCTATTAGAAGAAGGGCATCCTTTGGCAATGAAAGATGCTGCTTCTGCTATTTTCAGCCTCTGCATTCTTCATGAAAATAAAATCAGAGCAGTCCGAGATGGTGCAGTGAGCGTTTTATTGGAAAAGATTGTGAAGAGAGTGAACATTGATGAATTGCTGGCCATACTTGCGATGCTCTCAACCAATCAGAAAGCAGTGGTGGAAATGGGAGAGCTTGGCGCAGTTCCACTCTTGCTTGGTTTAATGAGGGAGACGCCATGCGCCCGCAACAAGGAGAACTGTGTGGCTGTTCTGTACACAATATGCTTTAGCGACCGTACTAAGTGGAAAGAGATGAGGGAGGAGGAAAATAAGAACGGTACAATCTCCCAGCTTGCAGAAAACGGCACTTCAAGAGCCAGGAGGAAGGCCAGCAGCATTCTTGACAGACTGAATAGGGCGTTCAATATCACTCATTCCGCATGATGGAGACACTTTGGAAGCACAAATCTGTAAATTCTACACTTTCATACCCCTCGCGCCTTTACTGAAGCATGATATGTTCATTTACAACTTTTGTTGTTTTGTATATAATACTCCGTATATATACATTTACAGATTTGCGGCATTTGCCCCCGTGCTGTAGTCACTGACAGTGAATAAATAATCTTTGGCATTTTATTATTACCATCATGTCGTTTATTTTCTTAACAAATCTTTCCCTGTCTTCACGTCTCGCTGGTTTATGTTGTGGGTTCTTCTTGAGTTCTTGGTTATGTTTAAAACCTCGTTGATCGAACGAGCAGAATCTGTTTGAAAAATCAGATGGAAGCTCCCACTCGCCTCTAATATATGTTTGGTTTATTAGCTTGAGAAGCAATAATTTTGAGCTTTCCTTAGTCTTTTGAGTTTGGCAGCATGAAAAAAAACCTTGGGTGTAACCTGTTCACGAGTTTTGCGTGGTTATCTCTAGGCTTACGTCAATAAGAGGCAAACTGGTTCTAAATGTAAATTACATGCGTTCTACTAACAACTTGTACTCTCTCCTTTAAAAGACTCTCATAGTTTAACTTTTTTGGTCAAATTATGAAAAAAGTATATTTAATTATAATGTAAACTTAATGAAATTGGATTTATTTTAAAATATAACTTTGAAATGCCAAATTTTTATAATCTATAAGCATTTTATTTCTTTAGTAGGTTTTATAGGTAGGGTGCAGGTTGAGAATTGATGGTTATAAACTACCGAGAATAAAGAATAATATAAGTTTTTAGAGAGAGAGAATGCAAAGTAGGAGTTTATTTGTTCTAAACTTGGATCCATTACAATGAGGGGTTTCGCCCCTTTTATAGGGGATACAATACACATAGTCAAAGTTCTCTGATCGAGGTTCGTCGCCTAGCGGACGTCATCTCTGTCATGAGTTGTCCTTTTCATCCCGTCGCTATTGTGCAGTCAACGCAGCCGGTCGCTTTCCTCCCATCACTGTCACACTCCCTAGTCGAGCTCGCAGGCTGAGCCGAGCTCATGGGCCGAGCAGAAAACTCTTCCACGTGGCTGGTGGGGTCTGGCTGACGTGTCTCTTGGAGTCATCCTCCATCATAAGCCCCCCCACTCTCCGAGTTTAATTGCAATCGGCGATGGAACACGAGAGAGTATGGGTACGGTATGGAAGCAGTGTGGGGGCCCACGTGGAGGAGTTGGCAGGTAATTGGTGCCGCTTGGGCTTCCCCATCATGAAGGGATGTGTCGTTTCGCCTCCCTAGGGCAAGTGGCAGCCCATCATTGCACCCATTCAAACCCTTCCTCTATAAATACCAACCACACACGCTTCATTCCTCACTTTTAAAGAGAGAAAGTAGGAGCTCTTGCCGTCGTTAGCACTACCGCCGTCGTCCTCGCCCACTTTCCGGCTCTGTACTAGGTTAGTCTTCCTCGGCCTTGCTCTTCCATGTCTTCCCAATCCTCAGTCTTTCGCCAGTCTGAGTCCGAGCGCGATGCAGAGGGCTCTGTCATAGGTTCCGAGCAGGAGAGTGACTCCCGCTCACCCTCCGCTGAGGAGATAGTCGCGGCGGTCGAGGTCCCTCCTTAGTCCGAGCCTCGCAATCAGAGGCGTACCACCCTGGAGGACTCGGGGATCCGTGCGCGGAAGTGCACCCTTACGGGGGAGGAATTTCGCAAGGCGAAGCGCTTGGCTTCAGCGCCGGGCGTGACCGTGCGCCGTCCCACCTCCGAGGAGTCTGTCTTCGACGCCCCTCCGGGATTCTTCGCCATCCACCTCAAATCCCTCGAGTACGGATTCCGCTTCCCCCTCCATCAGTTAGTCAAAGATGTTTTCCTCCATTTTGATTTTCTCCCTTGCCAAGTCATGCCCAAATCCCACCGCTACTTGGCGGGGTTCCTTATTCGTTGCCAAGGGACCGGGGTTTGGCCCGACCTGGTCCGCTTCTTATTGCTTTTCCGGTTGGCGAAATCGTCTGGCCGGGCGAACTCCGACTCAGGCTCGTATGCCTCCGTCTCCCAAAGGCAAGAGAAGCTTTTCAAGACGCGGAAGGATTCCGCCAAGAGTTGGAAAGAGAAGTTCGTCTTCATCTCTCTCTCCTCGGGCTCCCCCTTTCGTATAGAGCCCCTCAGTTCCTTACGTCTCCATTCTGCGTGCGTCACCTCGGACAAGATGCTCGGGGATGTGGAGACGCTCTGCCAAGGGGGGCCCTTCGAAGTCGGCTCGCTAGTGACGAACGAGGCGTTGGCGGCGCTCGGCTTCGTCTTCCTGTCCCCGGAAGACACCCAACGAAGCATTGAAGAAGGCCCCTCAGGTCAGTGCAATCTCTTACACCCGGCCGTCCGTAGGTCACGACTAATTCGGATTTCCCATCTCCTCCTTGCGGCTAAGTACTCGCCTCACCACTTATCTTCTTTGGTTTTGTGCAGGTGAAATCATGCTTTCCAACGCCGAGCGGGTGAAGCTCATGTTCCCTGATGCTTCGAGCAATAACTCCCAAGTTCCTGCTTCGGGTTCCCGTCCCCTGACTCCTCTTGTGAAGCTGACCTCCGAGATAGCCTAGAAGAAGAAAAGGAAGGAAACGGCCTCGGCTGCCGACGTTCCCCAGGGGTCCGAGTCCCCCATGATGAAGGACTTCGGCAACCCTAAGTACGTCAAGGCGGCCTTCCCTGCTCGGGTCTCCTTCTTAGATGGGAACTACGACCCGGAGACCTTCCTACGCAGCTTCACTCCTCCCACCGATCGCGCGAAGATTAAGGATCTCGACCGAAAGACTCTGGCCTCGGCCTCATTTCACGAGCTGTGTAACACCCTAATCCGTCCAGGTCTGCAACCCCGTTCAGACTAAAGTATTAACTTGGTAATCATAAAAATTTAAAACATTTCGAAAACTTTTATTTATCACAACAATATTTTTCATATCATAAACAGTACGGAGTTTTCAATATTGCAAAAGCTTTACCAAATCATAATTACAACATAATTTATTTATGTTCTTCAGTTCAGAACCATTCAGAACCATCACATCCATTCCGACAATCTCGCCTCCGTCTGCCTCCAGGATCACGTCACTTCATTCTTTCTATTAACCTGCGTGTAGCAAATAAAACATACTACACGCTCAGCGTTGAAGCTGAGTAAGCATATCTAATGCGTCGAACATCCATATAAACTGAATCTAAATTCACAATCAAATCATTTGATATCATGCACATATTATTCAGTTCAGATAATCAATAATTATTTAAAATTATTCATTATTCAACATTTATATTCACATTCAATGTTCACTAGTCATTCATAATAATTGCAATATTCAATTCAATATTCATCATTCAATATTTATTCATATTCAATATTCAACATTCAACAATATCCTTAAACTATTCTTAGCCTAAGGCTAATCACTTTAATATTTGTCAACCCTTACACGAATTCTAGTTTAAATAATTAAACTATATTCCAGTATAAAATATTCCTAAATAATCCTTAAGCTAGGCCTAGTTTAAGATAAAAGGGTTTTGAAAATCTTAAACTTACCTTCACTTAAGGCCAACCAAAAACCAACAACGTAGTGTTCACTGTTGGGTGGGTGGTACCCCCAAACGAGTAGGTACTCAAGTTTGGTTCTTGGATCCCGTA